AAGTCGCTGAAAGTAAATTGTACGGAGTTGTACTACGAACATTTTTTTATTTTTGGTTTTTCCACAGTATGACTCATAAGAAGGATTAAGCAGTCTAGCTAATAAACTCGCATACTGCAACTTTTTACCTGATTTTTCAAGCGTTTTGGTAATCAGCACTTATTCAGCCCTAGAAGATGTTAGATGAATAAAACGCTGAATAAAAGAATGGTATGCAGTTACACTCTATGATCTAAAAGTTAATTATTAAATGAAAAATAATCACCATATAAGTTTACTACCATCTGGAGTTCATAGTTTGATCAATGGTCTACAAAAGCTGACAAAAATGTTAACTCTGAGGCTTTAACTTTGTATCATATTTTTTGAGATTTTATAGTTTTCAGCACTTATTCAGCTCAAGAAAATTATAGCTGAATAAAGTGTTGAATAGCAGGACATCAGGAGGGCTTAGTACGAAGTTACATAATAAGATCTTATTAATAATATTCAAAACTTTCAAAACGTTGTTATTAAATAAATTCTAACAAAAAATGAGCATAACACATGTTTACTGCTGCCCAGAATAGATCATAGTTCGGTCGTGAGAAGAAAAAATGTAATTTCGTTTCTTGTAAAGCTTACAACGTTTAAAAAAACTAATATATACAAAAAGTTTCATGTAAAAACATTAGCATATAATTTTATATATATTTATAGAGGACATTTCCTCTGCCTTTGAAGCTCTCAAATTAAGATTATTAGTAGAAAACAGTTACGTACAATACATATATACGCACAAAAGCAGCTTCGCCTTTGCGCTTCATGTTTAATATCCTTCCAGTTTACTTGCTGTCATGTCAACAAATTCAATTGGTCATCAAGCGCCAAATGACCTGTACGGACGCCGGAAAGGTGGAATGTGGAAAGAGCTTAAGATAAAAGTGGGTAACACAAAGTGAGTTATATATAAATATTGCGTAACTGCATATAAACGAACATTCGTTGCGGTGGTTCCAATTTGATGTAATTCTTGTTGTTGTATGCGCTGACCGATTTTCGCTGCACTTAAGCATAAAATAAAAAATAAAACCTTTCACCAGCTTGGTAATTACTTTTGGTTCAACTTTGCTCACCAACAGACGAGGACAGTTAGCGCATCGAGTTGATTTTAATTAAATTACACAACTTTTGTAAAACATTTTTAAATTTAACAATTTGCATACATTTGCACGCCTCTTTCGCTCTCTCAGAGCATCTCACACACCCCCACCAATCAACCCACAACCACCCATCGGCCCACCCATCCGAAAGACAGGCAGCTGAGCACACAAGAACGCACAAATAATTACGCTCGAATAATCGCATTAATTAGTATACAAGTGCAGTGCAGATTGCAACTATTGATTGCGTAATGCACTGATTAAAATGTTATTAGAACGGTATTATGACAGTTGTGGCATTTGCGGTGATTTTGGTATTGACTTTTTTGTAGTTGTTGCCAACACTGGCTGCAAATGGCCAACCACGAACGGCGGAAGGGAGGGACACTTCATAAAAGTCTACTTTAATTGTCATTGTATTGCCTATTATACTGCGTGTTGTTGTTGTTGCTTTGGTTTGACAAATCACTTGGTGGAATTGTGAAATCCCAGTGGCAGCCACACGCATATTCAATCATTTCAATTAAAAGCGCACGGCAATTATTAAAATAATAATTTTTCACATTTAAATGTTAGCATAAATATATACATACATTTTCACACATACGTATACATACATCAATAATTGCAATTCTTAAACCAGACAAAAATGAAAGGAAATGAAAAAACTTTATTTTTCATTGTATACTAATTACAGCGCCTCAAGTACTGCTTACACATCTATATGATTAATTTTTAATTTATTTATGTCTCTGTTTATTTGTTTAGCGGGGTTATCGTAAGTGATTTCGTGAAGCGGCACATCATGAGCATGTGCATAAATCAATTATTTTCATTAAATACGAATAATATTAACGGTATTAATGATAAATCTGTCAATTTATGAGTCTACACCCCTATTGTGGAAGGCTACTGGATTATAGGTGCCGATATATTTGCTTTGAATACAATCATAGCAACAACTCGCAAAATACTGTAAACAACAAATTTTGACGGTTGTTTGAACTTGACATTTCTATATAGTATAACAAGGGTTGACAGTAATAGATATGTACAATAATAAAAGTAAAATGACGACGGACGACTGAATTGCCTGTGGTAGGTTGTTGATATAAACTCGCTATATAAATTACCAAAAAAAGCTGTGCACTTTATGCGCTATAATTTGCAGATACATAATAAAAATGTTAGAGGGCAACCCTGCCATGTTTAAGGAAAAAAAATTTGACACATTTGCAATGGTTTTTACATAATACAACCATGAGACTAGAAATACAGTAATAATCTCTTATATATACCTATGTCAGTGTAGTTCATCTCGTAGTGAACGATAAAAGAGATCGAAGATACATGTATTCACTAAGTAGCTTCATTAACATCCATTATTAAATATAAACAACTAGTAAACCTAAACACTCAACAAAGAATACTGCTTTAAGCTGTAAAAAACTTGCTGCTGCTTAATCAAAAGTGCTTTATAAAGTACTTAAAGAACAACATAATATAAATAGTTTTTCCTGAAATAAAAGTCTAGCTTGGGATGCATGTGATTTGTAAGGGTCAAGTTAACAGTTCTAGTGAATATGATGATCTTTCTTTAAGTTGAACGCTCCAGCTGATTGACTATGCATCGTAGCAGCTTTGTCGATATACAAGTATAGAATCCAACGATAAGACTTGACGATGCCATGGCAATGGAATATCTTTAGTAATTCAAGCGTTATTATTAAAACTAAAGAACTTACACTAACATTAATTTGAATTATTTATAGAAGCCTCAGGCGGTATTATATTGTAGTAATTTGAAAAAATAATTTTTTTAATATTCAAAACTTAACCTTTTTAGTATACTTATGTATATCCTTAATGTCAAAATTTTAACTGTTACCGTAGATAATAGCTATTTTATTGCTATGGCATCCAAGACGTTTAAAACTGTTACAAATCAAAGGATTTTTGAAAACCTCAGATATAATTATTTAAAAATGTATTATACTTTTTTGAATATCCGTAATTTAATAAAACATGACTCAGAAATAATTATTTAAAAATGTATTATACTTTTTTGAATATCCGTAATTTAATAAAACATGACTCTTTTAACAGTTAGTATGGTAGCAACATGTCTTTTTGTTTTATTTGTTTCAGTTCGTATCGATGCTTGAGACTTGGCCCGCCACTTTTGCCAAACGATACTTCTAAACGTTTATAAAACATTTTAGTTTTTAATTTTTTCCCTTTTTGTATTCTTTTTGAGAGATAATGTTATTAGTTCATCCAGGGTATTTCGGACAGTCGCACGGAATCGCAACTCTTCATCTTGATTATCCAAATACAATATTAACGACGAATGTAGGAAAAGGATCAAGAAGATGACATAAAGGAACTACATCTTATAATACAATTAATTTTTACTTCCCGAGCTTTTGCTGGATATACTTATTTTCGAAAATGTCCTCTATATGTCACCGGTCTACATAAAGTTGCTATTTAAAACTACAATATATACGAATATGAATACCAATGGAATAAGGTAAATTTACAGACATTGGTTTTTCAAAAAGCATTCATCAATATCATTTTCAATTCTGAACATATATACTATAGCCAAAAGATTCAATTAAAAAACCTAGTTCTCCAACAGCAGAGGACTATAACAAATGCCTGGAAAACTTAATTAAACGCTGACAGAATCTAAAAGAGACAAAGCTTCGAAGCAAAGTTGTATACACAACAAATATGAAAGCCGAGTCTTAACAGTTCAGGAAAAATACGATGAAAATTTGCTTCGATATAACTACAAGTATTAAGCATCATTCATATTCCCACGGATCCAGATTTTAATCCGGTCAAAGACTATCAATTCAGCAGCATTCTTCAAAACTATTTCAGAAGTATTTTTCCCCGCTACAACAACATAAGCACAATGTTTTCATGAGAGATGCAAATGAACCTTTTATTTCGTATATGCACTTGTGGCACTTGGCGTATGAGCCACGTCTGCAACTTCGGTGGAATAAAGTACTTATGGGGTAACAAGTGCAGCGAAAAATCACCTATTTGGTGAACATTTTTCGTAGAGAATTGGAAAATTATGTTTAGGGCATCTCTTTTGTAATTAAATAAATATAAAAAATATATTGTTACTTCAAAATGGCGACTTGGCAAGTATTTGACCAGGACTGCGATTAAATTCAACAAAAACCCACTTACACGCCGCAAACTCGAGAAAGACAGAAGAATTTGTTAGAGTACCCTTTCCTCTTTCATTAAAATAATATCTGTTATGCAAATAAATATTTGTATACCTTTGGCAGGGTATAATATGTTTTCAACGATGTTTGTAACACCCAAAAAGGAAACGTTGAAGACCCTTTAAAATGTATATATAAATGTTTACCATGATAAACTGAATCAATTTAACCAAGTCCGTCTGTCTGTCCGATTGTCTGTATATACGCGAACTAGCCCCTTAGTTTTTGAGGCAGTTCGGATTACTATATCATATTCTAATCTAGACCCTTCAACGAAAATCCCATATTTTCACCATTTTGTATGCACCAAACTCGAGAAACACACAAGAACTTTATCTGCACCTCTTCATATTTTACAAAATTTTCATAAATAAAAATAAAATAGTGTTGTAATGGCAAACAATTAATTTTCAATTTGAGGTAAATAGTTGAGATATAATTAGTTTATTGTACTAGTATCTCTTTAGTTATTTTTCTTTTGTTGTTTGTAGAAATCGTTCTCAATTTAAAAATATATATTTTGATTGATAATCATTTTTTTTGAGTGCAAAATGGCCGTGTAAATTTTTAAGTATCAAATATAAAATTTTTATTGTGCACTTACCACCAGCTGGCGCTACGCAGTAAAATAAATGGGCCAGCACCAGAGCCCGAAATGGCGCGATGATCCTCATGACAACGGCTGATTTTTCCGCTACTGCTTGTTATTGTTGTATTTCTTGCAATTATTGTACGGCTATTTCAACGCAATTGCCAGCAACAGTTAATATTGTTAACAGCACAACTGCGTTAAATTTTTTGTTGTAGTTATATTTTGTTGCAACTGCTGATCAATTTGTTGCACACAGACACACCGTTACGCTTTGCTCGGTTGTATTGGTGAGGTCTCGCTAACGCATTCACTCGCTGTCACACTAACGCTTGCCTACTGACGATTGCTCTCCTACGCTCTGCTCCACTTGTCAACTATACAATTTCAATATTTGCTTATCTGTCGTTGCTGTTGTTGTTGTTGTTGTTGGTGTTGCCTGCGCACTGCGTCCGCTTCTTCTTCCGCTTTTTCTTCGTTTTCGTTCTGCTACTTCACCGACACAAATTTGTTTTATGCTTCGCCGTTGTTTGTGCCATAAGTTTGTGTTGTTGTTGCTGCTGTTGTTGTTTTTGTTGTTTCTGCTGTATATATGCTAGCTGTATACCTTTGCTGCTGTCCAATGCTTTTCTTTTCACGTTTGCATGCGTGCTGTGCTTGTCGTTGCTGTTGTTGTTGCAATTATTTTTTAACTGTACTTTCCGGCATTTGTTGCTATAATTGCAACTTCTAAGCACGCTACTAACACAAACACACATATTTTACATATCCAAACACTTTTTCTGTTGCATTCATTAGTGGCAGAGACACTCACGCAGAGCGAAGGAGCGAGCGAGAGCGATAATGAAAGCGAGCACTGGAGATTGGAGATATAGGACGCTAGTCGTTCGTAGTATGTGTGCGCATGTGTTGTTGGCGTTAAATGTGTGTCGATATAAAATTTATGTATTTGATTCGTTTTTGATTTGCTACTTGTTGTTGTAGTTGCAATTGCTGTTAGCTGGATTTGTAGTTTACCGTTTCCAGTACAATTTGAAGTTGACTCCTTAGTTAAGCCGAGGCGATTGTACGTGCATTAGTTTCAAGGTTCACATACAATTTGCTGGCAATTCGCTTGTTTTTGTTGTTGTCTCAGAATTGCATTTGAATTCTCATTTAATGGCAGGATATCTGTAAGAGGGCACAAGTGAGATTTTTCCAGTTAGCAATTTTCTCATTTAATAAAGGCAGAATATTGCATGTGGTTTGGAAACAAAGGGAAATCTGTATTTGTACTTTATTAAAAATATATTTTAGTTATAAAATGTTTTGTAATTAGAATTTTGAATTAATGACAAAGTTCCTAATTGCCAAATATTCAAACTGAAATAGTAAATTTTGCAAAGTTCTTGACACAAATGGTTACTGTATTTACTCGATTAGCTTTCAAGTATTTGCTAAATATTGTATAAAACCTAAAAGTTTTCTGAGTCAATTTGAGTCTTGCACTGCCTTAGGAGAACCTGAATTGTAGCCAAATTTTACAGTTACCAATTAAAGTTAATATTTTTTATTTTATTCTGAGGTATTATTATCAGAGCGGCCGGAAACGTGAATTTTTTCACAAAAAAACAACTTTTGATGGGCAGCCGCCATTTTGTCAAAAATAAAAATTTTAACTTGGCCTTCGATCATTTCTCTACTCATCTATAAAAATATATTTTTTTTTTGGTTTTTTAATTTGCGATTCTTTGTTTTTAAATTAATCGTTGATTAGGAATGTATATTAAATTCTGTAAATGTACATTGTTTATATTTATTTATTATGTTAAATGAAATGAAAAATGTGGAAAACGGTTGGCCTCAAGGGCTATCCCTGCAACTTCCCTCTAATTTCATACGCTAACGTTCAAATTTCGCTTTTTTCACTGCTTTTGAGCTTTTCGAAATTTTTCGTTTTCGATATCTAGCAAGTAAATCAACCGATTTCGACCCGGTTTGCGGCAAACGATGTGTTTCTTCAAGGTTTAGAACTGATTAGTTTTTGGTGTCGATCGGTCAATTCGAAAAAAACGATTTATTTTTGATATTTCTTGAAATCTACTGGTCCGATTGGGTCCAAACTTACACGAAATTCAAGTGCAATGAAACCCTTTGGAATGCCGTTTAGTTTATTCAAATCGGTTGAGCAGTTTAATAGTTATAAGAGGGTCACATACATCCACACACACACACATACATCCACACATACATACAGACATACGGACATCATCGTAGAAATGTTCAGGGAAGCTTCCTCGACCCTCAGAACGTCGAGATCTGTTGAGAACTCGATTTTTGCAAAATGGGGTGAAACCAATATCTTCCCGATTTTTAGAAAATTTTCCATTTTCTTAGCGGGAAGTTAAAAAAATGCACAAGAAAATGCGTTTTTTTTTTTTAATTTGCGTGGGAATAAAACTCCTTAAGGTCAGAAAATTACAAAATTTTTATGTTAAATTCTAGTAATTTATTCATATTTCTCTTCAATAAAAGGCTTACCACTTAATATTATATTAAGTAAGGAACATAAATATATATAAAAAAAAGGGATATATGTGGTATAAACAAAACCAAATGGGCAAAATTTGGTATATTGTGTATATGAGGAAAAGCTCAACTAGTGAAAAAGAAATCCTCATAAAGTGGACGACAGGCTTAGACCACGGTTTAGACAGGTTTAATACCTATTAAGCGCTAAATCTCTTTATTTTAATAAAATATTGGAAATATCACATAAATTGAGTAATCTAAACGGGTTGAAGTCAGTTGGAATATCAGAAATCATTATATCGGGTGTATTTGAGTTTGGGGAAGGTCTTGACTGATTGCGTTAACTTCTTCTATTGGTCGAGTATTTTTAGGAACTTGTTTCCTCATCATTTTATGAAGATAGCACACACACACTGACATATAACAAATATGCTGCACAAATCCCTAATATCATGACTTCCAACTTTGGTTTTTGCAAATTCCGAGAGTATAAAATAGCCAGTTGCAATCCTTCCTTACGTGTTATTAAATAGTTTTAACCATTTTTACTCGAGAAATATAGAGGAATACTCGTACTTAATAAAATGTGACGTCAACTCATTGCTCCTTTTGAAATGTGCACTGAAAATTTAAGTAACCCTGACTTTGTAATAAATTTAGTATTCACAAACCCTCAGACAACACTTTAACTTTAACCGCGACACTGAATTACCAAAACTCTGCTGATTGGACTTTGACGCTAAATGAGATGTTTCGCAAATTTAAGTAAGTCAAATGAGCTAAAAAGTTATTTTGCATTTCAATTCAGTGAGAATTTCTGAGAAACAAAAAAATCACAAAAAGATGGTCTAAATTGTAGCGAAAATGCACTTCCTTTCAATTCATACAACAAACGGCGCTCTGAACAAGAACTGAGACGACGAAATAAAAAAGCAACTGCTGGCGTTGCCTAACAGGCTGTCAGGCGGCCTTCCTAGCCTTGCTGGCTTTATGGCTGCACAACAATAACATTTTCACTTGATGTCAGCTCATCTGCTGGCAACAACACAAAAGCGCATAAATATGATTGCAATGCAACTGCCAAGCGGCTTTGTTGCACACATACACACACACACAGCCACTAACCAACCACTCTACCCAGCGACTCAATCAGCGTCCGTACGTTGCCGCCCTTGCTGGTTAGTAGACTGGCTGCATGGCTGCTTGTTGCCTGATGTGTTTCCTGTTTCATTGGAGCGCATTCATAACGTTCCCAGCGCCAGAAATTCAATTGACGTGCCTCTGCTATGTGGAAGCATTGGCTTTTGTCTGTGCTTGCCGCTAAGACTGCGGCTCAGTTCCAAATTTATTTGCCCTCCATCTATAGCCATCTATAGCAACAACTTTCATCTTCAAGCGGGCGAGTTCAGAAAGTTTTGCACTTTATGAAATTGGCATTTAATGTTTGACATTTGGAGAGGAGAATACAATGTGCAAAGAGAAGAAGAATGCCACACACACACAAGCGCACTTTTCGCTTTTCAGCCACGCTTTACAAGTATTTGCACTATGCACTGTGCGTCTCTGCCAATAAGTCAATTTCGTTGCAAGTTGTGTACAAGTGAAGTTTGCTTTAAGTTGCAATGTCTAACTGTTAAAGTTTTCATTTACTATTCAAGCGCATTTTGTGGCAAGCTGTTGTTGTTGGCAGTGGTATTGCATTGGTTTAAAGCATGCGCCCGCACTGTTGGCTGACTGCATTTGGCAAGCTTAATGATGCGGCACGCGCACTTTTTGTAGCACTCAACTGGCAGCCGCATTAAAATTAATACTTTGGACAAACAATATAAAATCACCACGAGAATAATGCATAATTAAAATGCAAGCTGACAAAAAGCGGCCGCAAAAAATATTTTGTGGCAAAAAACGAAGCTTACGTAATGAATTAAAGCGCAAAAAATGTATTTTTAATGCCAGTAAGGTTCATAGATATGTATTTAGCCTTCAAAAACTGCTTTAAAATCGAACAATAATTAATAGTGTTGCCTTTAGTAAATTATTTTGAATTTTTAATCCTTATTTGCATAACCTGTAATAATTTATATTTAATTAATAAACTTTGACGTATTAGGAAAATACCGAATAACTTATTGTTGGAGTTTTTCGACACAACAGTTTTTTATAATGTTTGCATTAATTTTTCAGCACATTTAATTTAATTAATTTCCGTACCTTAAGTAAAAATATTTGACGGAAGTGGTAAAATTTTTAACTTATACAAAAAAAATCCTACCTAAGTTTCATTAATTCCCAATTTAAAATTTAAATTGCTAAAATTAAACTTAAAGAGTTTGGAATATTAAAATTTAGATATGTTGTGGCTGATAAACAGAAACGGCGATATTTTCCAATAACAAATAAACCGACGACTCCTGACTTTTGCTGTCAAATGCAGTTGAACAAGACAAATATTTATGGATAAGGCAATTTTATTTATTTCGATCCTTACTTCTCATTTATGAATTCAGAAAACATAAATTCTCCGAAAATAATTAACACCAATTATTATACCATGAACAGGTATATTTAGTTTTCCACAAAGTTTGAACCACCCAGAGGTAGCTGAGTCGATTTAGCCATGTCCTTATGTCGGTAAATAGGTAGTTTTTGAGATAAGAATGTGAAATTATGCAAACGTCCTTTTGCACACAAGAAGCTGCTCATTTTTCGGAACTGATTTTTTATATGACAAGGTATCTTCACGAAATTGAGCATACATTGTTTATTATTTAAGGTAGTGGCACAATCTCAGGAAAACAATTTCAAATCAGAGCCCTATAGCGTATAGCAGCCATACAATCTGACCAATCAAAATCAACGTAAAGATTTTCATAAAATTTATTTTATCCTTAAACCTTAAATCGACTTGAAAATTGTATTTTCAAACAACGTGGCTAGAAAGAAACGTTTTCCGCTGAGTGCAAGCCCAACGGCCAGTTACGTTTTCAGAATTGGTTTAACATATACTTGCTATAAGATATGAATTTCTATTATTCCAATTAAATATATTATTCAAATTTAACGTTTATTATACTCTCGCAACATGTTGTTACAGAGTATAATAGTTTTGTTCACCTAACGGTTGTTTGTATCACCTAAAACTAATCGAGTTAGATATAGAGTTATATATATACAAATGATCAGGATGAAGAGACGAGTTGAAATCCGGGTGACTGTCTGTCCGTCCGTCCGTGCAAGCTGTAACTTGAGTAAAAATTGAGATATCTTTATGAAACTAGAGTAAGACGGTTGGTATTGCAGATGGGCGTAATCGGACCACTGCCACGCCCACAAAACGCCATTAATCAAAAACAAATAAATTGCCATAACTAAGCTCCACAATAAGATAGGGAGGGGCAACTGCAGTTAAAATTTTTTTTTTTAAGTGGCCGTGGTCCCGCCCCTCATAGGTTTAATGTGCATATCTCCTAAACTACTAAAGCTATAATAACAAAATTCATTGGAATTAAGTTTGGTTTTAAGAACCTCTACCTACAGTGTGAAATTGGGTGAAATCGGGTGACAACTCCGCCCACTCCCCATGTAACGGTACTGTTAAAAACTAATAAAAGCGCGATAAATCAAGCACACTTTTAGGTGAAAACCCATATCTTGGGATC